GAGGGGGCTGGGGGGGCGCGACGAGGCGGCCGGAGCTGCTGCAGACCCGGGGAGGGGGGCGGCGCTGACGGGCAGGGAGACCGGCCAATCAGGGCAGGCGGGGGGCCGTGGAGGCGGGGCCGCGGGGGGGTGCTTGTTGGAGGGAGAGGCCTTTGTTACTGCGGCCCGGCCCCCACCCGCCTGCCCGGCCGGCGCCTGCCCCCGCTCCGCACGGGTGCGAGACGCTGCTGAAGCTTAGTGCCTGCTCTTGAGCGGTCAAGGCATCCTCCCCCAGATCAGGGTGCAGACTCTGGATCCTCCTTCTACAGACCGGGTGCAGATCCCAGAACCTCCTCCTCCATACCCGGTGCAGACCCTAGATCCTCCTGTCCCAGACCTGTGTGCAGTCCCCAGATCCTCCTGTCCCAGACCTGTGTGCAGTCCCCAGATCCTCCTGTCCCAGACCTGTGTGCAGTCCCGGATCCTCCTCCTCCATACCCGGTTGCAACCCTAGATCCTCCTGCCCCAGACCAGGGGGCAATCCTGGATGCTCCTTTCTCAGACTCGGGTGCACGCCCGGATCTTCTTATCCCAGATCCCAGTGCAATCCCAGATCCTCAGGCTCCGGACTGGGTGCACACCCAGACTCTCCTGCCCCAGAGCCCGGAACTTCCTCCCTCACATTCAGGGGTCTGGACCCCTAATCACCATTTCCAGACCTAGGCTCCAGCTCCCAGCCCCCTCTTCCAGTGAGACACTGTGGCCTCCTGCATGGACTTCCCTGAGCAACTAAAACATCATGTTTGGGATGAAAAGCCTTGTCTCCCCCTCTGCAGCCCCAACCCCAGGAAATGAGGAGGATGGAGGATGACAACCCAGGGCCTGAGTGTACAAAATATCTAACCACCTAGGTGACATGGGCATGTGACTTTGGACAAATTAGTGCCCTCCTCAGTCTCAGGGCCTTTTCCCTGCAGGATGGAACAACCCAGTCTCCCCAGGTCACTGAGAAGGCACAGAAAGGTCCTGCAGGAGCCATCAGCCTCTAACATGCGACAGTTAGCTCCTGCCTCCCTCACACTTTGCATCCCATGCTTCAGCCATCGACCTGGGCCCCCCAACCTTGGTCTCAGTGGGAACCCCACGGGGAGGCAGGTCTCTGCCTACTCAAGGAAAGGGTGCAGGCTTGGGGAGCTCCAAGGGAGGCGTCTACAAACCAGACCAGGCAGGACACCTCAGCGCACGTGGAGCCCCATCACTACAGCCTGGCTGTGTGACTGCAGCAGGCGGTCCTGCTGCACTGCCTAGCTCCACCCAGAAAGAAGGGATAACAGGAGCTGTTGTCAGGGAGCTAGACACTGGGCTCATCACACTCCTAGGGCTCAGGACTCTTGGCAAGGGCCTTGGGAAAATTCAATATGTTATTAATACCTGCAAAAAGCCTAGAGCATGTTAAACTATAAAGGGCAGCAGTCAATACGGAGCAATGGGGTTGCACAGGGCAGTGCTGAGGGCCAGCATAGGTCAGACCCCCATCACAGAAGACTCACTCTTTCTTACTTAGGGTTTCTCCAGGGTCACCACACCACAGCGCAGGTCTCAGTCTGGTTCTTCAGCTTGGACATCTTCTGTGGCCTCCTGAGCCTGTTGTACTCGTCCTCAGCACTTGGGGTTGCCCGCGTGTTGCACGTGTTTGTGTCCACGTCCGTGGGCTTCCCAGCTGACCCCAGTCCTCTCAGGCCTCATGTGGTGCTGTATGTACATACACACTGAGCATCTCTTCTCCCAAGTACTTGGGTCCAGGCAGGTTTCTGAGCTTGAAATAGCTGCATACTGTACTAGTTGAGCATCCCTGGTCCAAAATCTGAAGTGCTCCAAAGCCTGAAGCTTAGGCGTGCTCTTCCTGTACTACCTCTTGGCAATGACCTCTCACTGCCAACACCATCCTTTATTTCCTGCTCAGCAAAATGGTGCTTTGATCTTTAAGTAGGTCTCTTTTGCAGGGGGCAGTGATGGGTCTGTGCCCATGCGAAGGCCCGCTGGGTCATCTCGGTGACGAGCCAGCGTGGTGTGGGGTTCCTAAGCCAACAACATGCAGCTCCTAGACTGACTTTCGCCTTCCTCCCCCTGGTTAACCTCAACCTCCTCTTTTGTTTTTCAGGTCCCTGTGCCAAGCCTTCCCAATCAGCACCTTTAGGATACTACACCTCCCATACAAACTCCACCCCCAACCCAGCCCTATCCTATAAATTCTTTGTCTCCCTGTGTCCTCCTGTGTGGGTTCTTTGGCAGCCCTCCTGCGCCAAGCAGTGAACTCTTTCTTTACCTCTATCCTGCTTCTCGTTCATGCTAGAGGAAGGAGTGTGACAGGTGGGATGTTGGCCCTTAACAGCAGGACTCAGAGGGACATTGCAGAAGGATCCACCTGGGCTTCTCTCCCTCGTGGGGAGAGCCGTCTGTGGGGTGCTCCTGCTCCAGCTCCCTGTTGACACCAGGTGGCGGGTGTGGGTAGAGCAGTGTTTTTCACGGTCAGGTTTCAATGGCGTCTCTTTGGATGGCTTCCCAATCTGGCCCAGAGTCTCCCTCTCTACCTCATGCTGCCTGCACTGCCACCTCCCTGCCAAGATCTGGGACGAGCTTTGACCCCTCAGACTTCTCCATCACTCACTGGGCTGCCCCTAGACCTGCAGCAGGTCTCAGGATGATGGCCCTGCCCAAACTTTTCCTTCTTGGGAGATCTCAAATCCTTCAGGGCTCTCCTGGGTTATCTTTTACCCCTTACAAGAGTTCTTCGGTTATAACTAATAATTCTTTGTATTAAACTTTTCGTGTTTAAGCCAGAAAGAAAAACACACGGCTGGGCTGTTTAACCTTTCCATTCCTCAGTTTCTTCATTAAAAACGAAAAAAGGAGAAAGAAACAAACAGAAAACCAGGCTTCATCCCACTAATTAAAGCTGTTGCAAGGGGCCGGGGAGATGGCTCAGTGGAATAAGTGCTTCCCTGGCAAGCGCAAGGGCCTGAGTTCAATCCCCGGTTCCGCCAAAAAAAAAAAAAAAAAAAAAAGCTGTTGCAAGAGGCAAGGTGTCACTTGACAGGTGACAAGTGTCTAGCCTGCTAGCCTGGCATCCAGCTCTGAGTGGAAGCTGGAAGTTTTGCTGTCTTGCTGTCTCTTGTCCATCTATCTATGGATTTCCTGTGGCCAGTGGCTTAAAATGACTTGCGCTTCTTCTCACCCAGTTCTAGAATCTAGAAGTTAAGAAATCAAAGTGTCAGTAGAGACACCACAGTGCTCATAAAGAAGTAAGAAGGAGAACGCACTCCTGTCTCTCTCCTTGGTGGCTGCCACAGGGCTCAACCCTTCCAGCCTCCGTCTGCCTTCACAGGACCTTCCCTCTCCTGTCGGTGGCCACAGCTCCCTCCACTCCCTCTGTGTTGCTATGTCCTGGGCGACCACCCGGATACATACAACACAGGGTTTAGCTGGGCTTGTGGCTTCAGAGGCAGAAATGTCAGGGCAGATGGGACAGGACTGGTGAGGGAAGCTGTCACCTCATAGCACCTGGGGATCAGAGAGCAGGTGAAGAGCTGGAGGAGGATGAGCCAGGGGCCAGATAGAAACCCTGAGGCCACAGCCCCACGACCCACCCAGAAACACTCTCGAGAGTGCTCCATTAATCCGCTAGGTGTCTCTCATGCCAACCAGATTAATGAGCAGGATTGAGGATTATGGCCCCCTTCTAAGGATACTCTGGTCTGCATGGAGGCTAGAGGCTACAGCCAGGTAATCCAAGATCATCCCCTCATCTCAGAATCCTTACCGCCATCACATCTGCAAAGAATTGGACCTTCTGAAGGTCACTGTGCGGCCCAGCCCTGTCCATCCTGCATGCTCTGCTCCTGCCCCGTGCCCAGGAGGCTGACGCTGCTGGCCACACCAGCAAGCTCTCGTGTTCCTCAGGCTCGAGGGGCACTTTGCCGCAGGGCAGAGCTGGGTAGTAGCTGCAGCGTAGCTCTCCTGTTCTGGCCGTTTGGCTGTGACACCAGCCAGGCGGCCCCTCTCTGTGGTCCACAGCCGTTGCCGAGCATGGGCGACCTCATTGCTCCCTCTTGGGGCTTCCTCCCGGGTCCCTCGATCCTGTTGCTGGTAGCAGGAGCACCCCCATCTGTGCACAGGCAGACCCCACCAGGCAGAGGATTTCTGCCTTTATGGTGGTGTGAAAACAACACGCATGTGGTAGAGACCCTGCTTCTGATTTTGAACCTGGGTCTTTCCCTGGCCTAGGCACATGCTGCTGGATACTCTCCTATGGCGCTGGGCAGCGGTCACAAAGGCCAACAACCAGCACCCTAAGGGGGTTGTTCAGCTGTGCCGTTCAGGACTTTTGCATTGAATGTCCCTTCAATGCACCACATCTGTTCCTTGCAGTGGATTTCATGGGATGTGATTTCGCCGTAGCTCGAGGCGCTTCTGTGTCGCAGCCCCGTGCACCCTTGTGTACACGGCGCCTTTCTCAGAAAGTCTGCTCCAGGAATCCCCTGCCAGGGGCTGGCTCTTCCCAGCCTGGCCTTCCTGACCCAGCACCATCACTGGCTTGGGCTGCTCACCCCTCAGTGCTCTCCCTCGTGTTAGCGGCTTTTCAGGAACAGACGCTCAGCAACTGCAGTGCTTACCAGGCTCATAGTGTGGAGACAGGAAAGATGCTCAGCTTCCCGGCGAATAACAGAAATACAAGAATCCAACAGCCAGCCAGGCTCGGTGGCACATGCCTGGAATCAAAGTAGACTAGGTGGCTGAGGCAGGAAGGTGGCAAGTTCAAGCCCAGCTTGGGTAACTTAGCAACTCAGCAAGACCTTGTCTC